CATGCCTTCTTCCAAAAGGCAAGTACATCTGCGCGCCCAGATGGTCAAGCGACCTACTAACCATTGAGGAGGCGCCTCCAGAGGAGGCAGAGTTTCAGGCAAGTGACCCTGATTTGGAAGAGTCGCTTTCAGACTCAGATGTGCATTATGCATCTGATGGCTCAGGCTTTTTTGCGAGCGATGGTGAGGGGCCTGAGAGAAAGAGATTGAAGCGTCAGTACCGGCAGCGTCGCACTGACGAGCTACAATTTATGGGAAAACCTGTCTGCGCCAGGGCTTGCGCGCGCCTGCTGGCTATTGGACAAACCACACTACAACGGATGAGACGAGGGGAGAACATACAATGAAATCGAAGGCAAAGGAGCCAGTCCATCCTACCTTTGGGTTTGCTATGCGTGGCGACTCTCGTGAAAAAATGGCCGACCATCGTGCAATACCTTTGGTTCGTTTACCATTCGGTGGGAGAAGTGATGCCGACTGACACCGCCCACAAGTTGAAACCAAAGGTGTTGAACCAGCCGGAGGAGTGTCCATTCCCAGAGCGTGAGCCGGACGACCTTACGCGGCACATTAACAGCCTCATGTCCTCCTTGCAAAAGTACGAACAATTTCTGTTTTAACCCACCTGGTGGGACCAGGAACATTTAAAGGTGAAAGACGATATGTCCAGCATTCTTCAAGGACTGAACTCTTCTATGAGTTCCTGGCTCACTGCGAGTCTATTGGAGAAACAAATCCTGCCAGCTATCAAACATTTCTTCGCGTGGCATCCAAAGTGCTTGGACTGGACCTTTTGAGCGGGACAGCCAACTCAAGTTTAGAAAGCCTGGGCAGCACGCCAAGTGCGACACTTGCTGTCTCCTAAAGCAGAAGTTACGGTTCAAACAAGGCCGGATCACTGTGGCCACGCAAGAGGACAAGGAAAATATTGTCAAGAGCTACAGCCATCGCATTTTGTCCCAGTGGCTCGACCGCCAGGGCATGTCGTTCTTGGTCGCACACATGGGTTCGTCAAGGTGAACGCCGGCTTCATGCTGCCGTGGCCACAAGTTCCATCACACTAATGTGTGATGGAGTGGACCAGGCAAAGTTCAGAACACCACGCCTCAGGACCACTTCTTCCAAACTTCTGTCTAAATTGTTTAGACCCCGACTACATGTTGGAGGAGCTTGGCCCCATGGAAAGGCACTTCACTTGAGTATTGCGGGACGAAGATTTCCCAAAAGATTCTGTTTGTCAGATTGAACAGCTTTCTCGAAGCCTGGAATCCTTATACTTGGAACAGGGCAAATTGCCTTGCGGATTGTTTTGTCAGAGTGACAATTGCTTCAGGGAAGGCAAGAACGGACACGTCATTGGGTGGCTGATTCTCGTTACAGCTCTACGTGTGTTTCGCTGGACATGTGCCAGCTACCTGCGTGTTGGACATAGCGCCTTGACTTTGCCTACTTAGTATAATACTTTTTGAAAACCAGACTATTGTTGTAGTCTATGTTGATGCCTGCTCATGCCCTGCCGTCTCCCTGCAAGGCCATGAAGATATTGATCAGATCTTCTCAGTCAAAGCCAGCCTCATTGCCAGATACCTTCAACAATCCAGAAGACTTGTTGGAAATTCTAGCCGACACATCATCTCGACCAGACAATGCTGCGGAGTTGATCAGGAAGACATGGGATGCTCCTCGATTGGAAGTCCGACCCTACAAGTTGGATGAAGCGGCCAACTGGAAGGCATGGGTGGCCATGCTGGGGATCAGAGTGAAAGGACTTCGTTGCTTGCAAGCTGATAACAACTTTTACTTTCCACAAGTTGGTTGAGTTATGTCAGCTGTTGCTCAGATATTTGTTTGGGTCTGAGATGTTTGTACTTGTTTCTCATAAAAGGTTTTGTGGGGCAAGTCCGTATTTCAATGAGAAAAGACATCGATGCTGCATCGTACGGACGTGTTGAAGTCAGTGAGATCAGAGGAGCCACGCCCCAACCTGAAGACATTTTGTTGATAGCAAAGAAGTATATGGCTGACCCAGAGCCATATAAGATTGTCACATTGCTGACTGTGGACCAAGCTGCGGAGATTCGGCGCAGTTTCGCCCAGCCAGAGGGAGTGGCTCCAAGACGGGTGATACAAGAGAAGGTTCGCAAGAAGGTGGAGAATTTAGTGCCAGCGTGTGTTGAACAAGGCCTTTTGCCCTTGGATGGCGCTGCTTATTTGACCAATTGGGTGGCTGGAACGCTTCCCAAGAAGCCCAGACCAAGAGAATACACTTATTTGACACACCGTTTTGGCCCTCCAGATGCTCCTGGGCCCAGCAGGCCATGGGTCGCTCCCCCC